GGCTGTTAACCAATGTCATAAAACAACATGTGTACTACTGTTTCATGAGAAACTATTTGTTCTGTAAGCCTTCACCTGACGTACAATAAAATATAAAAAAAAAAAAGTGCCCAGTCTGGGGTTCCTTGATAGGAAAACTTTTATAAATTATCTTATCAAGGCCCTTTAATTGATTTTTATAAGCTGATGTTGTGTAGTTGCTAGGTGCCATGAGTAGATTTCAACTCATAACAACCCCATGTGATAGAGTAGAACTGCCCTATAGGGTTTCCTAGACTGTAATCTTTACAGGAGCAAATCACCAGGTCTTTTCTCCCACGGAGTCACTGGGTAGTTTCAAACTGCCACCCTTTCTGTTCGCAGCCGAGCGCTTAACCATTGCGCCACCAGGGCTCCTATTTTAAGTTTATAGATAGCTTAAATATCATGTGCAGAAATTCTAAGGGACACCAAACAATCTGTAAACAGCTAGCATAACTGAGGCATACAAGAGGTTGTTTGAGGTTTCTTCCTTCCTCACTAGGAAGTCACCCAACACACATCATGGCTACACAGTTAAAGGCTTCCATCAGTGAAAGGCAGCTACAGATTTCCAAACAAGGCTCTACCACTTCTCGGCTTTATGAATTTTTACAAGTTGCTTAACATCTCTACACCTGTTTCTTTATCAAACGTAATTATAACAGCATCTATCACATGGAAATGTGATGTAAGGAAATAAGCCATGCCTGATACACAGGAAGTACTCAAGAAATTTTAGACTGTATAGTATTACAATTACTAACTTAAAGACTTCAAAAAAAGACTGGGAAGTGTGCCCTTTGATTTACATGACAATGTGGTGGGAAGGGTTTATGCAACGAAATAATAGCTCGGCGTTTGGGACAACTCCTCTTAGCTAACTTTATGACCTTGGGCAGGTCACTCCTCTGTGAGAGCCTCGTTCCCCAATCTGTAAAATGGGGATGACGATCCTTATCTTGCAGGGTTGTTGTGACGATCAGGTGTCTAGCACAATAGCAGGTGCTTGCCAAATGGCAATTACCTTTTCCCTTTCGCTGCAGGATAGAAAGTGGAGGAGTGGGAGTGGAATAGCGCAAAGGAGCAGCAGGCCCGGAAAAAGCCTCCAGATATGCTGACAGAGAAGTGACGGTTCACGGCCTCCACGGAGTTTCTCTGCCGCCGGCGGGGGCTCCATGCTGCTCTCCCTCCCTTCGCCGCTCCTGAGTGGCCACCTGGGCCTCGCTGGCGCCTGCTTGCCTGTCTCCCCAGCAATTCTGCGCCCAGCTCGAAAGACACCCTTCCACCCTGCTCCCCTCGTAGCCTAAACGATACCAGCCTCTTCTATCCAGGCTCTAGAGCTCCCTCTTGGCGCTGGAGCCTGCCCTCACCTGTGCGGCTGACACCGGGTCTCAATGTCAGCAGCGCCCCTGGGCCTCGAGCTCCCAGCGGAGGCGCGAAGGCGGTGACGCTCAGTTTGCGGCCCAGTGACGTCCCCACCACACCCTCCCTGGGCGGCCGGGCCCCTCTCCCCGCTGCAGCCGGCAGCCGGGGGGTCCCCACAGCCACGAGCACCCAGCGTGAGGAGCACCGCGCCGCCATCTTGGCTCCGGGACACTGCGCCTGCGCCACCAGGCTCAAGGAAGCCTGGCAGGGAGGACGCTAGCGCGCGGCAACGCCTCTTCCGGAGGCAGGGCAGCTGCGCGCGCTCGGAGGTACGCAAGTGTTGCGCACGCGCATCACGTAATGCATTTTCCTGGTACCCAACGCAGAAGTGAGGTTCGCTCTGAAAAGTGTTTGCCTTGATGTTAGGCTTTCCTTGGAGAACTTTGTCGTTCTGTGCTGGATGACCAAAGACCGCACCTTATCTTTGGAAAGACGTAGCTGAGTGTACCCGCATGGAACTGACCTGAGGCGCCTGACACGGGGCGGACTACAAGTCCCGGCATGCAATGCGGCGTCACGTGCAGATCCCAGCGTGTAGTGCACGGTTTTCTTCACCTTTGTCCCTGTATTTCATTTTGTTGCATGGGGATTAGTTATACGGCCACACCACATATTTCACAAATCCCTGCCCCTAACTCCTAAAGCCTGGCCTCAACCTCACTTTCTCTCGGGCTGATTCCACCATGAGCAAGACTTTCATCGCTCGGCACCCTCCTTAGCATGTTAGGTTTCTCAAAACCTTTAGTGAATTTGCTGGTCACGAAATGAGACCCAAACTACCCAAAAAACGAATATCGTCGACGTTGTGAGCACCTACTATATGTCATGCGCGTTCCAGAATATTGAGGATACGATGATGAATGAAATACTGTCCCTGTTCTGGAGGAGCAGACAATGACTACAGAGCGAGGCTCCTTAGCATCTAGCAATGTGAGAAAGGCTGTCATAACTATAAATAAGAGTGTCACAGGCACACAGGTGAGGGGTTCATTCTGTTCACGGGGGTTAGGGGTGTCAGAGAAGGCTTCTGAGAGGCTGTAATGTTCCAGTTGGGCTTTGATAAAAAGGGCGTCAGGTAGGGGTGAAAGGGAAGAGTACTCCAAGTAGCAAGAACTTCATAAGCTAATGTTTAGAAATGTGAAAGCGTTTGCTCTACTTGCTTAAGCCCTAAACTTAGGGTTAGAGATAAAGCTAGAAAGGTAGACCTGGCCTGGTTGGGAGGAGCTCTGTAAGCCTTCCAAAGAAGTTTCAACTTTGAACTTTCAGACCCCCATCACCACCCCCAGCAATAGGAACGGAACCTTGAGTTCTTGAACCGAAGGCTCAAGGATGGGTTTAAGATGATCTGTGCTTTTCCACCTTTCAGTGTGGAGGATTTTTGCTGCTAATCCCTATGGGGAAATAGACTGGGGGATAAATTAAAATACAAAAAAATGAGGAAGTTATAAAGCTAATAAAATTTTCATATTGGCGAGCCTTCCTGTAGGAGGGACTTACTCTGAGGTGGTAAATGAAAGTCCCTTTAGATCTTGTTCTCAGCTTTTATTCCTGCAAGTTGTACTTCCCAACCAGTTCCCCCTTCCTGCCCTGCCTTCCCTAGGCTTTGGATTCCCTGTGGGCTGGTACTGGTGTCTGATTTGTTCTTCTTGGTATTCTCAGCGCTTAGCACAGAGCCTTACTGAGTGCCAAGTATTGCCTAAAGCCTTTACATGGATTGTCTCATTTACTCTCCAACGGATCCTTTAAAGGAGTTACTATTATGTCCCCATTTTAGAGAAGAGGAAACTGAGGCAAAGGGAGCTGAAGTAAGTTGCCCAAGGACACACAGTTGGTAAGCAGCAGAGCCTGGATTCAAACACAGGCAGTCTGACTCCAGAGCCCAGACTCTCAACCACTATGCGGGAGACATTTAAATATTTGTCGAATGTATTAAATGAACTATTTCCCTTGTCTCCCACTCCATGACATCCTCTTCCTTGCTTCTCGAAAATATACCTTGTTCACCTCAGTCCTCTCCATTCCCCAGCCCAAACTCTCTTATCTATCCCCTGAATTTTACATTAGCCTTGTAACTACCTGTCGGGCCTCCAAGACATTCTTCCTCAATGAGAACAGTGGCTTTAACCGTCTTTGAATCTCAGAGCCCTTCAAGAATTTTTTGAAAGCTACAGATGTCTCCCCAAATTAATATCCACATAAACACAATTTGGGTATAAAATGGGAATTACAGTTTTTTTTTTTTCCCCTAGCTTTTGGTGATTCCAGGAATTCTGTGGCCTGTGACAGCATCACTCCAATCTCTACCTCCATCTTCATGTAGCTGTCTTCCCTCTATGTCTCTTTTGTTTTAATTTTTTTAAATTGTACTTTAGGTGAAGGTTTACAGAACAAATAGTTTCTCATTAAACAGTCAGTACACATTGTGTTATGACATTGATTAACAACTCCACGACATGTCAACACTCTCCCCTCTCGACCTTGGAGGACCATTTTTTTGGAGAAAATATACATAGCCAAAGTTACACCATTTTGAAAGTTTCTACATGTACAATTCAGTAACATTGATTACATTCTTCCAGTGGTGCTGCTATTCTCACTATTATTTTCCAAATTATTCCAACACCATTATCTTCAACTCACTGCCCCCTAGGCTTCCCATCAAACCTTTTGAGTTGCTGTTGTCAATCTGATCTCACATAGATAATTCTTCTTTTTTTTTTTTTTTACCTTAGATGAAGGTTTGCAGAACAACTAGTTTCTCATTAAACAGTTAGTACACATATTGCCCTATGACGATGGTTAACAACAGCATGACATGTCAACACTGTCTCTTCTCAACCTTGAGTTCCCTGTCACCAGCTTTCCTGTCCCCTCTTGCATTCTAGTCCTTGTCCCTGGACTGCTGTGCCTCATTAGTCCCGTTTTGTTTTATGAGGCCGTCCAATCCCTGGCTGAACGGTGAACTTCAGGAGTGACTTCACCACTGAGCTAAAAGGGTGTCTGGGAGCCATACTCTCGGGATTTCTCCAGTCTGTCAGGCCAGTAAATCTGGTCTTTTTTTGTGTGTGTGTGAGTTAGAATTTTGTTCTACATCCTTTTCCAGCTCTGTCTAGGACCCTCTATTGTGATCCCGGTAAGAGCACTCAGTGATGGTAGGCGGGCACCATCTAGCTGTACTCAGTCTGGTGGAGGCCATGTTAGCTGTGGTCCATTAGTCCTTTGGACGAATCTTTTCCTTGTATCTTGTTTTCTTCATTCTCCCTTGCTCCTGAAGGGGTGAGGGCAGTGAAGTATCTTAGATGGCTGCTCACAGGCTTTTAAGACCCCAGACGCTACT